TTATAAAACTTAAATATATTTTTTAGTATTTTGTTTATTTGTTTAATTCTCTCTTCTAAATTCAACTTTGTAAACTAACTTATTGATTAGTAAGCAAATTTATAATAATAATTTAAATATAAATATTATTATTATAATCATTAATATTATTATTATTTTATATTATCTCTTAAACTGTCAGATTTAACAAACAAATTTGCCTGCTAAAATTCCATAAATTTATATCTAATATATTTTCACCAGAAATTAAAATATGTTAAAAAAGTTTGTTTAATATTAGCTTTAATTATATATTATATAATAATTATTTTCGCTTTTTTAATAATTATTAATCTTAAATTTTAAAAATATTTTATAATAAAATTACAAAATTGATTAAAAAATCAATTAAATATTTTGAGTAATTGTAAATCAAAATTACAAATTTTATATTTATTGATTAAAAATATGCTATATTTTATTTTAGCTTAGAAAAATGGGAGGGGATTAAGCTTATAAAAATTAGGAGTAAATGTACAAAATAAGCTAAAAAAATTTTTAGCAACAAATTTGCCTTTAAGGGATAATCATTATTATTATTATTATTTTATATAGTTTTATATTTTCAAGTATATAAGGTAAAAGAGGATATTTTGATGAAGAGGAATACTATAACAATGTAATAATATCTTGATAACTAGTTATCACAATTGCATGAAAATATTATCATTCGATTTATCATGTCTAGATAAATTGAATGATAATATTTTCATATGATTTTTATTGAAGTATCACACTAAAAGTCATTATATGTTAGATTTTTTCAATTTAAAGGGCAATATCTTGATATCCTGCAATCAAAACACGTGAAAAATACCACCATTCGATTCTTCATGTTTAGACAAATCGAATGATGATATTTTCATATAATATCATCCTTGAAAATTATTGTATGCCAAAATTTAATATAAATTGGTAAAGATCTAATATAGTGATTTTTAAGGTGATATCTCAATATTCAGCATTCGATTCGTTTAGACATGACAGTTTGATGAGGCTAAAGATATCATGAGTTAGATCATTTTCCGCATAGACGATTTCAACATTCAGCCAAGAGAATATTAATCATATACTTAACATTTTAGGGCTTCTCGGCAACACAAAAATCGATTTACACAATTTAAACGACACTACAGGTAGTGTTTGGACAGCAATACTCATAACGATAATTGTAGTAGTATTATCGCTATCATTGTACCAATCGTCAAACAAACGAATGTCAGTTTGTATGCTTTAAACGAAGCTGTATGCTTCAGACGAAGCAATCGAAGGTAAAATTTATTAGCAATACAACGACTGTACGCAGTAATAGTTATAATTTTCGCTTCTCTGTTTTTTATTTATTTATAATGTCAACATTCATGGGAGTTAGCTGTTAACATTGAGAATGAATGAAAAGATGGTAAAAAATGCATATCCGAAATCTCAAAAATCAACCATCCAGATACAACGCAACGCAAGTTCTTTTTTTGTTAAGTTCAACGAAGTACGTATTGACGTTTTAAAATATTGTGCATTATTTTTTGATTTATTTAACAAAAACTATATTTCAAAAATTATAAAGCGAACAATAAACGTCCTATTGAAATATGTCAGAAGGATCAAATAAACAAGTAAAGATTTTATTTTAAACCAAGACACTACGTAGTCATTTGATTTCAGAACATCAAATTCAAACATTATAAAGGCATGACGACTCTTTTAACACGATAATAATAAATGAGCGCCAATTTAACGTTAACGTTCTGATTTATCGTCATTGAACTTCCCATTTATGTGATATCACGCGTAACAATTTCACATGAAAATGACGCATTTTTACATGTAACGGTAATCGATCATGAAAAAACAAACTGTATTCTACTGCACATGCCACGGAAATTATATAGTCGACTCTCGATATATACCGACGTGCAGCTTCTATTGTAAACAATATACGTACGTATATCGATATTGTTTACAATAGAATCTGCACATCGGTATATATCGAGATTTCAAATAAAAGAAAGCTTTTCTCGGCGACACAATTCTTAGTGTTAAAAAAAACTTGTGTTATCTTATAAGAAGAAAGAATCACAATAATATCATTTTCCATTTCCATCTTAAAAAGTTTCAAGATACATGTAATTAGTTCTTTAACACCTAGTGTAACCAAATGAATGACGATATTGAATTCGAATTGGTTCTCGGTAATGGTTTTTCCGAACCCAGCGTTGATGTCTACAAAATCAAAATGAGCCCGACCAAAATCGAGAAGGAAACGCTTAGCATCACATCTGCTAATCGCATTTGGAGTTGGAAACCGGATAAGCGGGATAAACCAGAATATAATAGATTTGCTCCTGCAGAGATCAAGCCAGTGCTCTACAAAGAGAACTCTGCTGACAAAGGGCAATGTGCTATTCTGACTATCAACAATATCTACGATATCAAAGAAAAGTATTTGTATTCTGAGGTGCTCGTACTCCCATACATCAAAGACACCAATGGCTATCCGTTGCCTCCGAAGTCTCCGTTGCTAAAGCTGCCGCTAAATGAAAATATTGGTAACTGGCATAGTGTGGAGCTGATCCCTGATTCTAATGGCTTGATCGGTTTGATCTCAGTTGTAGACACGAATGGAACAGTATACGTGTTCACAAAAGAGGGGAAAATAAAAAACACTTTTAAATTGCCACACGCGCATGGGCTCGTTTGGGATAACAAAACATCGACTCTATTTGCACTTGGCCATACGGGTCTGCAGATATATCAGTTAGATCCCGAGAATTCTACGAATTTAAAGCTATTAACAACACTCGACTTCTCTGAATACTACGAAAATAAAAATGTGGAGAGAGAGGAGGATAAGGATGGTGGGCACGACCTCTACCTTGTTCCGGACGAGAAGAAGCTGTTTCTGACAACGGGTGAACGGACATTTAAATTCGACATAGGCGAATATGAGAAACTCTTTCCGAAAGGTGGAAAGATATTAGAACGTTATAAGCTTAGGAAAGGAGAAAAAATATTAAAGCCCTATCAGCCAATGTTTAAGATAGATAGCAAATATTGGCAAAACATTGCATCAGACAAAGTTCCTCCAAAGGCGAAGGGGTTGAAAGACAGAGTAACGTCTAAGAAAGGGGGAGTGAAATCAATCTCTCAGGTCCCCGGGACGAGTGTTGTTATTGCTCACGCGGCACCTTGGTTCGCTGACGATAATGAGTTGGCATATCCCTACATATCGAATATTCTTCTGGTTGCCACAGGCCCAGAGGATAAACCTCTCCCAGATGATAAACTTCTAGACATTGATCTAACTAAAGGTCATAAGATCGAATTTTCGGAAGCAATCTTCTATAAGGCGCGGGTCTTGATCTTTCCCAAATGATCAAAATTTTTTACTGGATGATGGTGGTGTTATAATGATTATAAAATAAAAATATTTACTACTACAGAAAGACTTATGTTGACGTGAAATGGAACCTGTTGCTGGAATTGCAATTGTTGAACATTTAGAAAGAGTTTGTTGAATCACCAAGATCTATCGCTATGATCATCTTGCTTTTTTAACAATATCGATATCAATTTTTGTGATGAATAAATTTTACTAATGCTAAGGATTGTTATTTCTTCTATAAATAGATTATCTTTTGGTTTGCGTATAATTATAATAATTGGTATAAGAGAATTTATGCGTTTTGGAATATGATCGATTCCTAACTGATATTTCCAGTGACGAAATCTTTTTTTTGGCATTTATATGTACATGATATTTATATTTATTGGTTTTCACTGATTATAAATATAATATTCATAGATACTTCTCGCAATATTTATAGTTACTGAATAAAATAAAATTTTTGTACAACTTTCTCCAAACATATACATGTATTTTGAATGTCTCGAATAGACGTATTCAGAAGATAGTAATAGCATCAACAAACTAAAACGTGAGCGCAATGTGGCGTGAACCAATAAGAACGTCCTATTGAGTAGCGCAAACCAATAAGAATGCGCAAATTTTCGAAACAAAAAAATGAAAAAAGCGGAAAATGTGAAAAATACGGAAAACAGACCAATAAAGCTCGGCTGCCAGAACGTGCTCTTCTGTGACCATCATACCTCCGATCTTAATCCAATCGAAAATATTTGGGTATTCTTCAAGCAAAATGTTTAAAAAAAGGTTAAAAAAAATTATTGCGCAAAAAAATGTGTCACATGAGGTTTTTGTGAAGTTAGTGGAAGAGGAGTGGGCGAATCTTCCGGAGGAGGTGATCTTTAGCAGTGTCAATAGTTTGCAAAATTGCGTTCAAGCCTGCGTTGACGCGGAAGGAGGGACATACTAAATATTACTGTTATATATGGGCTACTCAAGTGTATTTTGAAAATAGTTTTTCTTTTTTTGCGATTATTAATATAAAAAATCTGACCACACGTGAATGATAATCATTTGTCACATGACTGTTCTCGAGTCTGTCTTTAGACTGAACCTCAATTAAAACTCGGCTTCTGGAGCTGATCGAACTGAACCAGCTATATATCAGTAATGTCCATGTTCACTCTACATGTACATGTATTAGCTTTGAGGTTTATACGTAGTTTGACATTAGGTGGATAACAATTATGTTGACATTAACACTATCCGAACGTTTATCGATAATAATTGATGAATGAGTTCAAATTAGTTAACAAAATGAATGTAAAAGCAGACTTTTCTTGTTTTAAAATTTTTGTTAATTAAAAACAAACGATTTGTTAATTTATAAAACTAAAATTGTTAAGATAAATTGATTATGCAAATTTGACTAATTGTCAAATTATGTTTAAACAATAAAATCAGTAAAAAAATTGCATTACATTATTTTAACATTTTTCATAACAAGCAAAGATAGAAAAGGGTAAATATCCTAGTGGTTTATGTAGGTATATAATATTCCAGTTTTCTAGATGTTTCCTAATTATCCAATAGTCATTAGTTAAATCGTTTCTTTCATTAGTGTAGTTGATCACCTGTACTTGCAATCGATAATATATCTTAGCGCCTGTAGTCATATAAGCAAAATTACACGATGTACATTTTTTATTAGTCAGTTAACGTTGTGGTTTTACTTAATAAAATTTCAACAAAACATTGAAATCTGCCAATATTTTCATATGATTTTTTCTTTTCTGATGATCACCAAGGTTAACTATAAAAATTGGAATTCCGCTAACACAGGAACTTACCCATTTCCACCTGTAATGCTTGCATTAAGAGACAGATTTTATCGTAATGGTAAGAGGTTAATGTACACTTTCTTTGGTCGTATTTTTAAATTGGGCATGGTCACGCTCTTTATAGTGGAAATTAATTAAAATTTCGATATAGTGTATTAATATCTAAATTAGTTATAATAAATTTTTCGATATACGTAGTAGATTTATCAGTATAGTGGTTCTATTAATAGGTTTTTTAATACACTAGTACCATTGTAAAATTATTAAGAAACTTCACATATACTACCAAAAAATTGAATTATCATATTTGACAAAATCTAAAATCAGAGCAAAGAAAATCTATTAATGTTATAACTTTTATCGGTATATTATAACTCAATATCATCACACCTCGTTTATGTCACACTATTTCTTAGTCACGGCAAAAAAATTTTCGATCACATGATTCCGATCCCCTAATACTCCCAAATAAATATCGGTCAAGTGATTCATATCCCGGTGTCGACCATCCGATATCCCCCTTAAAATCATGCACCAATCAAATCGCAAGATCAACGCAAAAAACGCTTACTTTGAAAAATAGCTTGTAAACAAAAATGTTCCTTGCGAAATTTTACTATATATTATGCTCACGTTTGTTATAGAATAATCTCAACCTTAAACTTAACCCTAACCTTAGCCGAGACTCTATTAGGGAGGAATGTCGAATGGTTGGTGTCGGGCGGCATCTGGATCGGAATCATGTGATCGACAATTTTTTCGCCGTGGTTAGGGTATTAATTTCCCAGTCCCAACTATTATAATATATTACACTGTATTCATTTACCTTTGTGATTCCATAAAAGTGATATAAAGTATGAAGTTTGAAAGTCTTTAGTTATTAATTTATAATGAATTCTTTTAAATATGATAAATAGTTTTAATAAGTTTCTTATTTATTCATCAGAATGTTTCTCGTCACTTAAATAAAGACTCTTTACACTCAAATCTTCAGTCTTACCTTTGCTCCATATAAATGCACAAATAATTTTTTTATCGGGGGTGGGGGAATCACTAAAATCAAAAAATTTTATTAATTTTCTCTTATTCGAATAATAAAATCCAAAGATAATAAATAATATATTAATCAGTAAAACATCTTCTTCTCATAGCAAAGGTGAAACGAACATATTGTATCTAAATTCCGAATTGAGACTAGTTCAAATAAAATTTAAACGCTTTATTAAATTGTTTGGTTCTTTCACCTTCCTCAAAATGAATACCGAGTTGTCTCATCACCACCCAACGCTGATTTAAAATACCTCACAAAGTTTTATAGCCTACTGTTCTGACACCACCTTCAGCAGACATTCGATAGCATATTTGTCTCGAACTGTTCTTTTGCCAACGCAAAATTTGTTTGATACATTACCGCAATTCGCGCACTAACTCGATTAACTTGTTCATTCACGTTTTTCGTGGATGGAATGCGGGTGTAGGTGCATTTCATTATTCTCTGCTTCGGTAGGGATGCCTTTAAAAGGGTCAAGGAAGCATTGGGAGATGACGGATCTATTACGACGCGACAGATGGTTTGGGGTGCTTAGAAAGGACGCCCAAGATATGGTTTCCCTCCGGCTCTGTAGAATTGCACCGAAGTTTCCTTTTTTGCTGATTTGGGGGTAATATACAAATGGTCATTTGTACATCCTATTGAATTCGGATAACAGTATCCTACAGCGTTTATTTAATCGCTTTCCGCTGCTCGAGAGTCTTGTCATAATTTTCAGCTTTCTATATAACATTTCTAAGAATTGTGCATAGATTTGGGTATGATTAACATTTACCTAACAAACTTCTGTGATTTTGAAGTTAACCATTTTGTAAATGTTTTTGATTTTGACGATAAGTTTTCGGACAGTAATTTGTTGACTTCGGACTCATCAAAATTACGATGGTAAATGTGGTGATATTTATTTTCAAAGGTTTTTATAATGGCTTATTACTCAAAAACCAGGTTAGGTACGTATATCTTGTAGAGATATTTACCAGTATATTATTGAATACAACAACGATAAATATATCACTACGACAAATCAAAGTGGTCGGGACTGTTAGTAGAAAATTCAGTTTTCTGAAGTTTATTATCGAGGAGGATTTCCATAACTGTTCCCGATGTTTCGGTGATATATAATCATTAACAACAATAACAGCAGCAATGATGAAAAGAACAATACATATACTGATAACAATAAAAATAAAATAATACAACCTAACAATACTAGAAATCAAACTCCGAAATTCTACATCAGTATTAGTACTAAAAAAAATCATACAATCTAATTAACCGCCACATTACATATACAGCTGCTCGCTGCTCAGGGTTGGAGTTTGCTATCCTCGTTCTTACGCTATTGCAACTTCTAATCAATCTACAAGCATTTTATACAATACATTGAAATACTAGTTGCAAATAGTGTACTTGAACAAATTGGGATATTGACTCATGGAATTCTTTTGCAAATAGTGTTATTCAGCACCATCATCATGTTCATTGGCGAACGGAAGTATTTTAGTGAATATTAGTTTACAATTTGAATGTTGACTCGTAAAAGTCGAATATATTATTGGTATTATTCATAATTAACAAAAGTCACCACAATATTTTTGCCGAGACTAAGTTGTAAGCTTGGTATTAATTCGATATATACTTGAGAAAGTGTGAATTAAAACCCAAATGAATCTAATTTTGAGTACGCGGAAATCCAAAAATCCTAAACATAAAGCAATGAGAATATGCAATAAAATCGGACAGTACAATATGATAATACACTTAAACATTTTGATTGTCGAAAGGGAGTATGTCAATGGGGTATTTTATCAAGGGGGAAACATTATAATCTTCAAATCGCAATTTACAATGCGCCACAATTAACATAGCGATGTGGTATTTTAGCCACAAATATAGAACAAATACCATTACATCATATATTGATATATACCAAATTATGCAAAAATTATGTCTATGACTCGGTAATCAAATTTTAAGATATCGTTAAGAGGCATCGCTAAATTAAACGCGATTTCTATATAGTGATCTGGGACAAGAGACTTAAACTCGCGATTTCATTAAATCGCAATGTGCCCTGACTGTATTTAAATAGATGACTATGAGCAAATGAATTTCTAACC